GGAAAGGAGGTGAGAAGTCCAGGATAAGCTCCGCTGCCGCAGGGGTGACGTCAGCCATGGCATTCACCAGTGTCAGCACGATCTAGGGGCCCTGCTGCAGTGCCAAGATCTCTGGGCCAGAACTGTCTGTGCCGTAACGCAGGCCTGAGAAAGGCAAGAGGGGCAACAGGCGCTTTGCAGCCTTTCCCACAGGTCAGATACTTTGTTGAAACCCCGGGAAATGACACCCCTTTACTGCTTGGGGCTGCTCTGGGATGGCACCAGGACATGACTGTCAGCAGCTCACAAAGCAGGTAAGAGCTGCAACACCCCTTGGACAGGGAGGAACACCCAGCTGCCCTCAGCTCTGACATTTAGCAGCCACCAGCTACCCCGGCCCACAGCTGGTGTTTGGCTAGCTCAGCAACTACTTACTCTGTTACAGGGCTTCACCTGCCACTTAAATCAACTCTTCACTTTGCATCAAAATTTCTGCACCCAAGGTTCAGAACAGGCTGCCAGGTCAAAAAGAAGATAGCAAAACTAATGCACTAAACACTATTTCTTCTTCTGTTCTCCTCCAGCTCTGCTACTGCAGCTGGAATTTGGCCCTCCTATTAGAAGGAATTTAGTAGCTGGACTCTGGCTCAGCTTTATAGTCCATCTGTTGCACACAACTGGCTTGGCTGTTCCAGGAGTTATGAGCATTTTTGTACAGAACAGGACCTTGCAGCAGGGGTTTTCGCTGGTCACAACCACCACCGCACACTTTGCCTCCAAGCTATGCCACTTTCTAACAGCCCAGATCTGCCTGGACATCCCATATGACTTTCTAGAGCTCTGCTTTCGTAAGGTCAATATTCTATTAGTTCCTGTCACAAAGAATCAGTGCGTGATTTATACACCTCCCCCCCTCCAAAAAAAAAACCTAACAAAAAACACCAGAAGCCAGAGAAAAAGGCATGTGAGAATGAAGAGATTGCATAAGGGAGAGAAGCTCAGCTAAAATTTAATAGAAAGAAGCACAGTCCTGATTTCTTTCTTAAAGTTATTACGGAACTGCCATTTTAAGTTATGATTTTTATAAGTCTCTGGAGACTCTGTTGTACAGGGTTGGAATGCAAAGCCCTTGTGGGAGAGGACTTCACTTCCTTCCAAAGCTACTCATCCTCACACAGAGTTCCTTCAACTTACCAGTTCATGACTAACCCTCTTCTCTAACAGTCACCTGGTTTGTTTACTTTTAGCTGCTGCGACCACCACCTCCTCTTCCCTAATACTAAAATTAGCGTTGCAAAAGCCTTAAACATCCTTGAATAAGAGTTAGCCAACACTCCATGTAAATTGTAGGATGCATGCATGCCCAAAAAACACACTTGCAGCACGGGGACCAGAGTGCTCCTATCAGCTAGCATCAGGTTAGTGGCAGAACTGCCCTCTGTAATCAGTCACAAACTGTAACACGAGAACATCACTTCCCACAAGAAGGCAAAGAAAATGCAGAAAGGTATTACCTATTGTTTCGTCTTTTAAATGCAAGAGCAGCAAGTTTGTTGTTTAGATACAATCAGATTTCCGAACCAAAGCACCGAAAGTTAGCTGTCATAGCATGGTGCACAGGTTCACTTAATTGTTCATCCGCATCAAGTGACATATGACACAGGAGAACAAAGACCGTGAATCATGTGTAGGCAATTTTTAAAAAACACTAACCTTAGCATATCAATCAAACTGTTCCAATTCAGTAGCTACCATCCAAAATCTGACCTCTCAGTTAGCATCAAGGTAGTGTTCATACGTAAAGCAAGGCTGCATGAATGCACAAAGCCCTGTACCAATAGAGAATTATAACGACTACAGCTCTAAAACAAAGAAAATTTTCATCCACTTCCATTCAGATTTTCCAGCAGATTAAGTGCTCTGCACTTCTCATTCAGCTGGCATTTAAGCATTATTCTACAAGAACTAATTCAGTGAATCTCTACTCCAACATTCCCATCTCACTATATTCAATGCCCATTTTTACCATTCCTACAACACAACTCAGAGGGGCCCATTAAATTACATAGATTTTCCTGCACAGGCAGGAAAAGCACCTTTAACCCTTTTGGCTGGAAAAGTCAGAGGATTAACTCCCTTGTTTAATTCATTATTATTTAAGATCCCTTCTTTCTTGTGCCTCATCCTCTTGCCAATCTGATGTTTAAAATCCTCATACATTTCCAGTCACATTTTATTTGCATTTGCAGCTATGCAACATGCTAAGCAATTTGTCTCCATCTTCACCTCTCCAGGTTTTTAGACTCTCTTCGCTACAGATGAAATTCATCTATCATCTTAGATGTTCTCCCTCCGCAGGCACCTGCTTTTGCCTTCACTGACTATTCGTCCTAGATTTCCTCTATTGCTTTTTGAGTCTACAGTTAGGAGTGGATGTGTTTTGTGGACATCACTACTGAGCCAAACCGCGCTTTTTACTGGTGCCTACTAAAGGCTGAAAGGAGTTTAGAGAAGACTAACGGTTTGCCATTCCTTTGGGTCAGACGCTTACAGCTGTAAACTAATACTGATTTGTAGTTGTACTGCAGAGTATACGTACACTACACACATTACATAGTTGGCAGGAAATCTCTCTTCCTTTGACCTCCTGGCTATATTTTAAAATGCACCTATAAATAAGAGATATAAAAGTGGCAGAAAGGAAGTTAGAGGATCGGGCTGACAGGGATTAGAAAACTGCTATGTTAAAAAGCAAATCCGTTGAACTTTTAAGTATTTCCCACTCACATTAGCAACTGCTTTGATTTCTGTACACCTAATTGGAGGAAATGGAATAAGAGGAGGTAGCAAACACTTAGTTTATATGAAAATACAGTTCTATAAAGGTGTCCTTATGGAATTTCATGTTTAAAAAAACGTAGTATGCAAATACAGCTGAATGACTAGCCTTCTTTAAAAAAAAACATCTATTGGAGCAATTAGGAAGAAACTATGATGGGGGGGGGAGGGGAAATCAGGCTTTCTTCCAAGAGCAAATTAAGGCAAAGTGTACATTTCAAGAATGTTCCTGTTTATCATCCCTTTTAGGAGGAAAAAAATAATGAAATATTTCTAGCACCAAAAAAATATTAACTCAAGAGAGAAGAAGGAAGAGACTTAAAGAACACAGAAACCATACCCAAAAAGCGAGCTCCAACTTCACTCCAGCTAACATAGTTACATATTTCAGCCCAATATTTTGATGGGGGTGGGGGGGGGGAAATAAGAGAAGACCTTAATTGTGTTTATTTCTCTACTAGTTTACCATTCTTTCTCTTGTTTGTCTGTAGAGAGGTGCAATCAATTTGCCAGGACAAGTCCATCACTGCAACTATGGCAAAGCTAAAGAGCTCTTGGCATAGTAGCACAGGCTGGAGTCAGACTGACCCACATCACCCAGCTGAACTACCCGTATGGGCCTGAACCTCTGAACTATCTGCTCAAAATTTGTATGCACTGCGTCCTCAGCAGCAGGAACAGGGAACTTCATTACCACTAATCTTACAGTTTGTGATAAAGGTCTGTGCAAAAGAAAGTCATTCAGCTACAGGGGTTAAAATGATTTGATTAAATGGTTTTCAAACTTCAGCATGAAACCAAAGAATGAAACTATTCACAAAAAAACGCATGCCACGTACTAAGGACTGGAAGTGGATTCAGCAGCAACGGGAATGTTTGAGAATCACACAATGTTTTGTTAAAAAAAAGTTCAAACAGAAACCAATTCTGCAAAAGTCCAACTGTTTCAGTTACACATCAGATTATGTTAGGAGATCACAAAAGTCCCTTCTAGTTTAAAAAAAAAAAAAAAAACAATGTAATAACAATAGCACCTCTGGGGATGTAAGGAGCACATGGTAACTTTGTACTGCACAGTTAAATAAAGAAGTCAAGTAAATTACTAAAAACAACAAGGCAAGTCAAACAGAGCATCTACTTTTTGCTTTATATACTAGTCACGATACTTCTCCCAGGTATCAGTGGATATGTTCGCTATAAATTCTAGCAAAGTACCTTCCTCAAACGAGGCAGGGGGAGAAAAATCAAAGAAATATCATGAAAGGATAGATGCGTCTCAGAAAATTAATTCCAAGGGCCTGAGAACATACTGAAGATAAAAGTCTTAAATTATTATTTCTAGATTACTGATTCAATAACTAGACTATAATTTTATTATTTTTATCCCTAAGAAAACATTTGACAAGCTTTGATCACATAAAAACAACCTTCATATTCTTAAATTCAAAAATAACCCGTTACAATGACCATTGAGAGAAGCAACTGAGCAAGAATTCTAGTTTATTTATTACAGAGATTTTCTTCTGTCAAATTAAAGGAATGCTTGTCTTCTGTTTTCACTGGGTTTGATTCATCTATCCTGTCTTGCAAGTCAGTAGCTCAGATCTGCTAAAATACAGTCTCAAAAAAATTATGAGTGCCTCTAGCTATCAACAGTACTTTCATACACACACATATATGTACATAAACAATCAAGTAACTCTTGAATTCTACAAATACTCTTTGCTTAGCTGTATTTCCCATACTGTTAGAAATATATTTTAAGATGCATTACTTGTTAAAACAGCTGCCAAGGAAATGAACTGGTTACCCCTTTAGCAATCCCTTACTTCTTACAATTATTACCAGACAAAAACACCCACTTCAGCCACCATGAAGAGTTTAATTAATTCCATGATAACGTAGAGATGTCAACATTAAGATTTCAAATAAGCAGCTTCTGTCATGTAGTGAAGCATGTAGTGAGGAAATGCAGCAAAGGAAAAGAACATTCAAGTCACCCAGTTACCTTGGAAATGGTTTTAAAGCTATTTCTAGAAAAACGTCAGCCTGTACGCGTTATCCATGCATCAATACACCTCGGAACTCAAGTGCCAACTTTTGCAGATTTAGAGAACATACTCTTGGTCTTATCTCAATAGACTTAAGCCGTTCCGTTTCATACAGCACTATTTTATACTCACGTAAAAAGTGTTTCTCCAGTAAGGCTATTTCCAGGTGCCCTTTGATCTCATTCAGTCTATCAGACTCTGTTCTGTTAAAGTCCTGGACTCCTGAAGCCATGATGGTGGTCCCTGGACCAGCCTACAAGAAAGCCAGAACACACTGACAGCTCAGAGGCACTTTTTTTCTTTTTTGTCATTTATATACATCAATTTACTTCTGTGGCAGCAAACACATAGCCACATGAAAAACGTGCAAGCATTGATAACTCAGCATGCCTCTTACTCAGCATTAAATTACCAAAATGAATCAACGAAAGCTAATCGAATCCACAGGATCTCTCCTGCATAGGTTTACAGAATACACTTGTGCAGACCTCAGGGAGTTTAAAAAAAAAAAAAGAAAACCTCCCTTACCAGCTCTGCTGCATCATCATTTAGCCTTCCTCTGGCTGATTTAAAGGCAGGCATATACGATTCCTTTCCTCCCCACATTCAACAGTCAATTCAACACTACATAAAACCCTGAAGCTGTATTTCACTGACCTATTAGGAAATATACATTGTATATTTTAGTAACAGTTTCTACAGTATGTAATTCTGAAGATTGCACTCTTTGTGCAAGAAAGATCAGAGCAGGGAGCCTGTTTGCCTCCCCAATTACTGCTCAAGGATGTAGTTGGTGCCCAAAACATCATCCTGGAGGGCTGAAAGGGAGAGACAGGAGACTGCATGTCTTCACTGATTTATTATTGTCACCAACAGCACCCCCCTGAATAAACTCAGCACTGGAAATATGGCAAAACACAAGGACTGAAGAACAGCATGCCTCATCCGAACAGCAGTGACAACTGCCATGACCACAAAGTGAGCACAGAAAAAAAAAAAGAACCTGTGCAGCAGAAGGCAGGTGAAGCTATTCTTCATAACAAGTATTTTCAAAAAGCAGGGGAAGGGGTGGTGAGGACATCTCTTTGGTAATGTTGTTTAGGTGCCGCGTGCGGTCCCAACTAGTTATGAACAGTCGGCCGATGAGAATTCTGGGAGCTTCTCCAAAAACTTACACTCAAAAATGAAGTGCTAGATTACAAAACCTTGCATCTAGGAAATGATCTTATGATACAAAGGAATTTTTTTGTTTTTGTTAGCCCTTCCCCCCCTGCCCTTGCTTGAGCTCTGAAAGCATACAGGAACTGCATTGCTTCCAAAAGTCAGCTTATATATATATTTAAACATGACAATTTAAATTACATACATATATAAATGCAGATAATTGACATGAGAGTTACTTAAAAGATATTTTCGACATTCTAGGAAAGATGTACAGAAAGCTCACTGAGAGCAAAGTATTTTCACTGATGGGAAAGATTTGCACTTTTTAAATAAAGCAGTGCAGAGATAATCTATTAGACATCTGTTTTCTTGCTCAAGCTGAGCAGCTGCTTAATTTAAGCCTTCAGACTTGTCTATCCAGGCAAATTAGCACCCAATAAGCATTTACTGCATGACATTTACCTGGCACAGACTCCCCACCTGGGCTGGCTTAATACAGTGCCAAGCAGAGATGCAATTTCCAGTCCCGAAAGCAACACAGCTACACCACCCAGCACGCTGCCGAAGTCGGTCAGCCCTAATGACAAGGGGAAGCTGTGAGGCTCGGAGCAGCCCTGTGCTGCTTCCCATTTCGGAGCTAGCACGAACATCTCCGCACCAGGCCACGGCAGACACGGAAAGGGCCCACGGCAGTTCTCGCCGGGGAGCCGCCTCCATGTAGCGTCCAGATTTCCCATCCGCGCATGCCTTGGGCCAACGAGGTGCAGCAAGACGTGCTATTTACAACTGCTTAAGCCACCGCTGGCTGAAAAGTAGAGTGTCAGCTGTGTATTTTTAGATGAGCATGGGATGGCAATTAACCACCATGTTTGTTTCTTATCTACAAACCTGGATCATATTTTACTCAGCTACGGAGCTGCTGCAAGATTTAGCGTTATCGCTTGTCAGACGCTGTGAGAAGCCCAAAGAGGAAGGTGTGGCAGAAGTCAAACAGCGGCACCCTTACAACACACTCTACAGATAGGCAAAGTGTTGTAAAAACACAGACTGCTGCCCAGACATTAAGCACAAGTTTCTATATTTTAAGTGAGTTTCATATAATAGAGAGCTAAACACACAAGGCAGAGGCAGGCTGTCATGCCTCCCCCGCTCCCGTTGCTGGGCAGTCAGACCGCGCCAGCACGGAGCTCCACCTTCGGACCACGGACACCAGGGGCAACCTCTGCTCCCAGCGGGCAGGAGCTCAGAGGGAGCTGCCTAAAGCAGCGCTGCCACTGTAAAAATCAATCAATCAATCAATCACATACAGGTCAAAAAGAAAGATGCCGCACCCATCAGCAACACTCACTAGCTTTGCATATCAGGCTAGTGGTTAGATACCGCGTGCTCGGATACTTCAGCATTACTGCCACAGACACGCTACTCCTTTCCACTCCCGACCCTACGCACAGCGGTGAGGACAGGAACACAGACACTGAGATGAGGGAGGACATGAAGAAAGGGCTAGCAAATATCTAAGTACGCTGAAATTTTCATTCTCACTGACGATACTCGAGCTACTTCACCCTGAGAGAGGTTACGTTTCAGAAATCCATCTAGACGATTAACCTTGCTTTTTGCTTCTTCAGTGACTTTAAATCATTAGTTGAGTAAAGCCCAAGATACCTGGACTGTGCATTTTATGAAGCAGGAAAAAAAAAAAAAACAAACAGTACCTAAAACTGGGGACATACCAATATGGACTCATTTTGAAAGTTTCCAAATGTGCCTTAAACTCGAGAAATCTGACATTAGCTGTTAGGCTAAAAATCAGTATGTGTCCATAACTGCACTAATCCAGAGGGGTTACAGTAACCTTCTACGCTAGGAGGAAAAAAAAAAAAGAACCACCCTAAATTAAAACATTAGGCTGCTTGCTAAGAATACTTTCTATTTACAATTAGGGTTAAGATAATGCAAGTATTGTCTAATAGTGCAATAGTTTAGCTAGAGTAGTAAGATACACAGTGATACAAGTTTGATGCATCGATTAGAGGGCTGGAGCATCTCTCCTATGAAGAAAGACTGCAAGAGCTGGGCCTGTTCAGCCTGGAGAAGAGAAGATTGAGAGGGGATCTCATCAACGTGTTTACAGTTAGGGTTAAGATAATGCAAGTATTGTCTAATAGTGCAATAGTTTAGCTAGAGTAGTAAGATACACAGTGATACAAGTTTGATGCATCGATTTACAAAAATCAGTAAAAATTAATGACAGTGCAATGTATTATCCAATGCAATTAGATGTTTAGAAAACTGAGCACGTACAGGAAAAAAAAGAGAGATGTAAGAGGCATTTAAGCAGGTGGTGGTTTTGTCAGGGAAGATTTGCCCCCTCCCTCCCCATACCAACACACCTTGTTCTGCCAAAGAGGTGTTAACGACCTAAAAGGATAACGAACAAGCCCAATACCTTTGCGGGAGGTCAACTTCTTGCGTCTTTTAAAAAAAAAAAAAGTACTTCTGAAGTAAATGTTAAGTAGCATAACTCACATGTTAAGAAAAAATTATCTTGCATTAATTCCAATATTAAGTGAGTAGTGTTTCTCTTTCTTCTGCTGCCTTCGTAGGATATTTCTGGGACTCAGATCAGATTAACCAAACCATACTATATACATGCCCTTTCTGGCTTCTGTATGACTCACAGTAAAAGCCTTAAAGGCTTCCAGAGTTCTGCTTTTCCATCCCCTTCTGCCTCTCTAGCTTTGACAATATTTGACCCAGGAGCTCTCTTAAAATGTTGCTATCACTATTACTTAGTGAAGAACATGCACAAGACTTTAGGATGCCTGGGAAGCGAGCAAAACACCGTGAGAGCTGAACATGAAGAGGAGTTAAGGGAAGGATTTTTGACGACGACAGATTGCCTCTAAACCGCTATCAGAGTTCCTGCTTCAAGTCACATCCGGCTCCAGATCTGAAAAACCACACCCACATGAAAATGGGTTTTTAAACCCATCTGCAGTTCAGGCTTTTCACATCACCTTCTCCCAATTTGAGGGGCTTCTCCCCTTTCCCCTTCCACCCCCAATATCCTGCAAGCTCTGGAATTTCTCTTGGGCACTGAATACCAAAAACACTGTCAACATAGAGTCCTAGTAAAGATCTCATTTCCAGTTTGGTAATTAACCTACTAGAGAGCAGCAGTTCTCAAATACAGCAAATACTGGCTAACCACTGCGAAAAAGAAGGGTTATTTTAGTTGTAATTTGCCTAACGTAATGGCTCGGCATACTTGATAAGACTGTATATAATGTTCAGACAGTGTCCCTCCTCTCACCCCGCTTCCAGCACAAATCCTCACGTTATATGAAGAATGCCCATTGCATATCACAAATTTTAGATTACTTTCCTTATATATCTACATCCAAGGAAATTAGGTCCACTCCAAAAAACATGCATCAAATAAGCTTCTGGCATCTGTGGGCTCTTTCCAGTAGTCCTGAAAGTTAGCCTGATAAAAACAGTTTAGGACAAATAAAACAACACATAGGTTGGCAGAATTGCCAACTAGATGCTAATCTGCTTGGTTGATCCAGCTCTACCTCATTGCCTATTAACAAGATCCCCAAGGGCTAGTTTCACTCTCAGCCTGTTTCCCCGAAAGCAAGGAGAAGGAGCAGCGAGGACACGGCGTGCCAAGCCCTGGGGACAGCACACTCCAAGTCACAGCAGCTGCAACATTTAGTAAAGAAAATTTACTTAAATTAACTCCTTTACTTCATTTGAGTAAAGAAAAAAAAAATCCACCTAAGTAATACAACAAACCAAAGAGCTCCTTCTATTCAGGTCCTAGTATCTTCAATTTCTTAAATGACATTCTGCATTCTTATTTCAAATTAAGAAAGGGTTCACCAGGGCTGCTGCATTTACCTGGCTTAAGGAAAGAAAGAAAACAACCCAGCGACACTACTCCAGAACAAAAGCACCTGTGTGAACAGTTAATCCTTAATGGCTATTCTGGGAAGCACACTCATATTGGCAGTCTCCTAAAACACAGCTGTATTTTGCAAAATTAAAAATTATCTAAATCTGCTAGCCAGGTTTAGATACTTTAATATCTTAACTGCAGTCTATCATGCTTTATACCTTCAAATGTCTGTAAATGAGGTCACTCATACAGTACTGTTATAGGCTTAAAACAACAAGTTTCAGGAAAAGCCAAACTGTGTGGGAGCATCAGTTAAATTAATATTTTCTGTATCACAGTAACTCAGATTTAATCCTAGCATACAGGCAGGAAACTTGCATAAACAGGTTAGACTGCTTTCAGCACAATACGCCAGGCACAGGAGAGCTTCAGCTTGCAATTCGCACTGACAGTTTAGTGCAGGAGCTCCACGGGTTTATATGCACATTTGTTCTTCTCCCCTTTCCTCAAAGAGACTTTGACCCTTCTTTGTAGAGTTCATTCATACTTCTCGTGCATAGTACTGAACAGTTTCTCACTGCTACAAAAACAAATCATTTTTCAAACTAAGCGTACATAATTTCATATAACAAAATGACAAGACACAACTTATGAAGAGGCAAAGCAAGCAAGCACCAGCAAAGGCAAGCAAGACTGATTTTCTGGGAAAACTCCTCCTCCTCCTCAAACACGTGGCACCTTAGCAAACTAAGTTGCAGGAGCAATGTTTTAAAGCATTTTAAGGCATAGCCACGTATGAGAACTGTGATCTAATAGAAAGCAACCTACGTTGTATCTACAGAATAGGAAATAGAGCACTGAATAAAGGGATTTAATTATCGTAGACAAGCAACATGTCATGATATTGGAAATTCATGTAAAGACAAATGTTAATATATTCACTTTCAGGAAGCAGGAACAGAAGGTGGCTATCCCTCTCCCCCCGTTTCTTTGTTATATTGTTTTGCCAAAACAATATAGAAATATCAATACTGCATATAGCACTGAATGTCCGTATGTTAAAAAATGGATGGCAAACTGAGAAGGGAGGGGGGAAATCTGTGAAGTCATTCAGGAACTGAAAGGTGCTTAGCAAAGACATCATCTGTTACCAACACAGCTGTCTGAGCAATGACATAATTACAGTATACAAGTACCTACAGAAATCTCTAAGAAAGTACTCCCTATCCAACACCTAATAGCAAGGGTTTTAAAATCAACGTAGACTGTGTCTCCCTATGTAAGCTAGCGAGGGGCCTTTCGTTCATACGCCTATGCTGAACAGATCAAGATCTTTAAGTTGCTAATGAGCAATACAACAGACTGAAAAATAACAAACACATGGAGGAGGCAGGGATGGCTGCTAGACAAAGGCTGATAGCGGCACCAGACATCTATGTACTGAAGACGCAGATCACGAGACTGGGACCCCAATTTTGTGCGCCTACGCTCTGTTCCATATTAAGTCACCAATCTTGCCATTTCACTCAAACAGTTCTGCACTCAGCTTTTAAGGGAAAGGGGGAAACAACAGAAGTGAAAGATCTACAGGATAGCTCACATGCTACAGACATGCAATCTAACTTTGATGCATGCACAAGACTAGAACATACATTTATTTTTGTAGGCTTTAAACAGTTCCCTAAAGGTATTAAACAGGAAGAAATCAACAATGATTTTTCCTTGTGATCCTTGACAACACAATCATAACAACATAATTTTATGTTGCTACAGATCCTATGAAAGGAAACCACCCTATATAAACAATTTAGATTCGAGCTTTACACAATTTCACTGAATTAAAACTAATTCAGGCACAACTCAAATATACAATCTCAGTAGGAAACAAAGACATAATTCTCAATCCCTCTGCTCTCGGGAACTTTGCTACTATACCAGTATTTACTCAATACAGATGCATTACTTTCTTTACTCAATCATCCAAATATTACTTTCTTTTCTCTTGGCACCCCTGCAAGGTAGGGGATTATTTATTCTCCCTTCATTTTACAGATGGGCAGCAGAGCTTAGGGGGACAGATGCCTGTCAGAGCTAAGTGCAAATCCCCAAACCTTCCCATCTGAAACCTAGCCCTTACACTTCAGACCTTCTTCCTCAAACAAGTTTGCCTATTTTTTCAAATACCTGTAACACAGCAGCTATTCTTACCCTGTTCAAATATCACACTGGCTTTGTAATTGTCTAATATCATGAGCAGGGTAAAATAAGAAGGTTGATGCTGTTGCTCTTTCTTTTCCTTCTCTCAGTTTTTGAAGAAATATAAACTTAATTATATTCCAAAGAGTTAGATTAGGACAGCCTACTTAACATTATGTACTCAGCCAGAAAGCACAGTGGTTCTCTTCAAACTGAGGAAAGAGAACACCAGGACAGATGCATAGGAATAAGGCTTTATAACAAGTCAAAACCTGAGGTTTACCAGATGATACCTTCAGTCTTAACACCTTGTAACTACTATCCTCCTACAGAAATACAGAAAATAATATCTAGGCTTTAAGGCAGATCTTTCTATAGCCGCTAGCCTGGGCATCGAGGCTGTTCTTGTTAGATACATAGGGTATTCCCTACTCTCTTCACATTAATATAATGCTATAAGTTTAATGAAAATAAGCCACTATTTATCCAAGACAAACCTCAGAAAATACTGTGATGCAACAGCTGGATCATAGATTAGTCTCAGAACACGTGGTACATACATCTTGATAAATCTTAGGACAGATGTCTTCAGTGCAATTGTAAGAGCAAAGGAACAGACCTTCCTCTCTAAGGAAGAGCTTGAGGATATGTATATAAAACAGACTTTTTGCGACAGAACAATCCTCTCTTATTACCACTGGTTCGTTCCATGATCACAAAAAAAAATTCTGGCAAAAAGGTGAATATAAGCAAATCATACATGATGCCATACAAGTCAGCTTAAGTTAAAAAACTAAAGGCTATGAAAAAGGATACAAGCTGCCAACCCCAAAAAGGATGCTTAAAGGAGGGAGCAAGTCCTGTGCTGCTAGAAGTATGATCTTCAGATAACAGCCTGACCATATTTGGGGTCAAAAACAGCATGGTGCATTTCTAAAGAGTGAGTTCACTCTATTTAGAGTGCAGATTCTGACTTCCAGGCCACATTCCAGAATACAGTTAAAATGCCAAATTGTAATCTAGATCGTACTCAGCAGCGCAAGCTTAAGGATCCACAGCCATTTTTGAACAGTTAAAGCAGAACTGTGCCAATATTTAGCATTCCCTGAAACATTCTTTTTTTAAAAAAGGCAGTTCCGCTCAAGTGCTTCTGCTAACAAGCACAAGGAAGATTTAGTAACTGAAGAGTCTTACTCAACTCCTGCGTGGGGTTATGCCAGCACTGTAACATGGAAGTGTTACTGGATACAACACTGGAGTAAAGAACAAGACAGTGTGACCCTCTACGCTCCAACGAGGACACCAAAAAAATCTTATTCTCAAAATGCTGCTATCTCCTACAGTTCTGGCCAGTGGCACTTGAGCAGTTCTAAGTTCTGAGACTAAAAAGCACCTAGAAGTCTTCCATTCAGATAACAAGCTTAAGACTTGTTTGTTAGCAGTTTAAGAAAACAAATAAAAATAGATGGCTTTCAGAAGCCCAAACTCAGGTTAACGGACCCATCAACCTATAACATCTAAAAGCAATAGCAGGGACAGTGAATTCTAACATTAAGAGATTAATTTCATCTTTCCACAAAATGGAAGCCTATTTAACAGCTTTATTCCCAATCGATAAACCTGGAAGTGTTAAATTCAAAACACCAAGCCCTTCAAAGAACTATCAATTTTTGTTATTTTTCCATCTGACAACTAGGTAATATAACACAATGGCAGTTAAAGTAAACCAAGTACTTACAGGGTCTCTCAGCTCTTCATTGTCTCGGGGTGCTGTTCGAGGTATTTTCACTGGGATTTCATCTCCACATTCAGTGTCTGAAGCATTTGGAGACTCTGCTAAATCAAGGAACTCATCTCTCTTGTGACCTCTGAACCTTATTTTGTCCAACCTCTTTAGCATGTTCAGCACTGAACTTTTCTGCTTTACCTTAACATGACGGTTGGAGTCTCTGCAAGAAGCAAGACATTAAGAATCCTTTAGAAAGACTGCAATAAACCAAAACACACACATTCTAATCACAAACTTGCTTTCAATCACTTTTCAAGGCCCTTCCTGCCACAGGAAGAAAAATATGCTGCAGCTTACTTTTTAAAAAACTTTTATCACAATGCAACAGATGCATGGTTTCTTTTTCAGTAGTTGATAATTTACAATGATCTCCCCTTACTCGGTAGTAACTATTCCCTCTGCCTCACATCTCACAACCTGTTTTTTTTTTTTGTTTGTTTGTTTTTTTAAGTCAGAACGAGCACCAGCTAACAACCCCACACCCCCCAAAAAGAAGAGAAAGTCAGTTCACAACAGGTCACTTTAAACAAACACACAAAAAGGTTCCATTGGTAAGTCTACTCTCTGCAACGTCCTGATACGTCTAATCAGACATGAAAGTCCACTAAGCATCACAACTGATCATCGAATCCCCTGAAAAACCAAAGCAAAAGAACAGCGTGGCTATCATACCACCATGCTCCTTAAGACTACACAAACTACAAAGTAACAAGGATTTACTGCAGAAAACTGCCAGACAGATCTAAACGGAAGAACCCATCAAAAATTTAAAAAACTGCTGAAGTTAACCATAACTCACATTCAAATATACAGCCAAAAGTCCTTAAAATCATCACTGCTGGCAATCGTGTATATATAGAGAAGTAAGCTTTGCTAGATTTCTTTTATTCTCCTTGAGACACACAAGAGAATCACTTTATCAGTGAGTTGGGTTTTTCTTTTTTTTTTTAAGCTAGTATGAACAAAATAAAAGTCTATTGCAAGTGACTCAGTACAGGTGAGCATTTTGCAGAACGCATGGACGTCAAGGCATGTAGAGGAAGCGGAGAACGCTCACAACATTTAAGTTCTAGAGGCTGCACTCAATGTGATTAATACTTAAATTTAGACTCACAATTCATAAGCCATACCAGAAGCATCTTCCTTTTAAAAGTAGAATACAACAAAGCTGAATAAGTACATGAAAACTTATTGTATACAGTGGTAGCTTGTCAATACGCTGCACTATATCATTTGCAATTTAAAAGGGATCTGCTGAATCAGCGATCCTGCCTTTCCTGAAAGTTGCTGCTCCGACTAGCAGGTTTGGCAGTTTATAAGAGGCTAGCCTCAATTTTTTTTTCGTGCAAGCTCAGCTCAGGGAGCTCCTTTTCCCCCCCTCACGCCTACTCCCTTGATGAACACACAGGTGACGACCGCACACCCCTTGGCCTTGAGTTTGCTGGAGCAAGCAAGTCAAGGTTTGTCTCTGCTGCATACAGAGGCCAGGTGAACTCCTAGTAGATCATCCATTTCAGCCTGGGTTGACTTCCTCAATACTGATGTCTGCAATGACTTGCTTCCCTCATTCTTTTAAAACAGCCTCACCTAAACACACGCTGCAGCTGCATTTGCCTTCTTCAAAGCTGTACTACACCAATACCTCAGTTATCCCACGAACATTTAATTCACTAGGGCTTGCCAGGTTCCTAAATATCTCCAAATATTTTGTCCTGTTTTTAATACCCCATCTATTGGTTTCTTTCCAAAGGAACTCTTAAGACCCACTCTGAATCGAGAGCAATCAGTTTTATCAGCAAATTTAAACTTTAGTGCTAAGGTCATTAAGTTTGGTTGTTGTTGGATTTTTGTTTGTTTGCTTTTAGGTTTTTTTTTTTTTTTAAGATTCATCTTTGAGACCTTCCATTGGTATCAGCTGAAGAAAGTTTCCTTCAATACTGTCTGTTGCAATATTACCTTTACCCAGCTTCTACAGGCCTTGGAATCTCTCCACTACTTCAGATCTTCTTTAAGGCATTTAATACAGTGCTACATGGGTCAACTACCAAAGTTCTCAAGTTAAACCAGCAGGGCATCACTTCTGGTAAATCCAGACCACATTTAGAACAGAACTCAAAAGGGAAAACTTTTAAGTCCTGCGAGAGCACTGAGAACCAAGACTTTCAGCTGCTCAGATGACTATTACTTCTTTCTTAAATAAAGGTATACTATATTTGCTGTCTTTAGGTCACATGATATCACTTGATAATTCAGAATTCAAAGAACTAGGACATTAAATTCTAAGTCTCATAGCAAAAATTTTAGAGGACAAGTTTTTCAAGTCACATACAAACATCATCCATTTCGAGAGTTCACTCTCCCAAACGAACTTTTGCTGTGGTAAAATTTTATTCCGACACACTTGTTCCTGTTACCATCTTCTTTTCCTCATGGTCAACATTCTCCTCTTCTTTGTTAAAAATGATGTTTAGCTTCATTGCACATCATCCCAGGAACGGATGTGAGATGGAAAAAAAAGAAAAAAAGAAAAAAAAAACCTCATAGATCTAGGCACAAGTCACTCCAGGCATCGAAATAAGGAGCAAGGAAGACGACTTTTGCCTTTGGCTCCCATAGCCTTTGCAAGACTGAACGGATCAGCACTTCGGGCAAGTCTCACTTTCTAACATAAACCTCATCCCAACAGAGTTTTTTTTTCTTTCCTTGTAGATTCTCCACTAACTCTAACGCTTTTGTGGTGACTATTCACATCAAGTTCAAACCAGAGACCTTCCTTGAAAATTTGCCTTAGTTTGAACGTCAGCCAAAATTTATTAGCACCTTTAACTTAAGCATGGAAGCCTGAAACTAATACAAGCACCCTACAGTGCAGCTGGCAAAAAAGTAGAAAGAGGAGGAGGAGGAGGGAAAAAAAAAGTTCTCTCCCTTTATCAGAGATCCTTAAAGTTGTAGGCCTGCACTTACTCTTTCACTTGAAGGGAGTCACTTGTGATAACTCACATCAAGGTTATTTTCTATGAACTGCTTTTCTTTAAAGTTTTATTACTTGTCAAAGCTAAGTTTAAAATAGAAACACTTCTTGCTCATTCATTGACTATTTGATGAAGAAACTTGTCAGCGATCGCATCCAGAAATATCTCTAGGCCCTACTATTAATAGCAACTAGAGAACAAATGCTATCAGGGAAGTTTAAGCCTCTGATAAGTACTGGCACAGTTCTATTGTGCTCCCTCCCATATCACGGATCTGCATCTATGTCCAACCAGTTTTACATACCAAGCCAGTCAGATCTCCATCAAAGCAGTTATAAACCAAACCCATTTGTTTTTTATGTTTTATCATTCATGTCATCACTTAACGATACAGTTATATGAAAAATAATAAGGATGGACTAGTGCTGGCACAGCACGGGGAATAGGAAGTCCTAGGCTCCAGTCTCCTCCTAGGGTGGCTCATGCATGTTAGCCCTAGTCACAGAACAGCCTGGCCAACAGATGCACCCCTGAGTCTAAACATGTTTACACTATCTTTTACTAGTGTAACCAGTGCTCCTACCTTTAAGTGTTACCACTCGTTGTTCTAAAAAAATGCAAGCCTTGCTTTCAACCGTTAACAGATTAGTCAACTCAATGAGCTTAAATTCTGTCGAGTGGAGGCTAACAAAAGAAGTATCATCACGGCCATTATTCTTCTTTAAAGTATCACTGAGAAGGTTGACTGTTAAAAGAGGAAACGAAGAATCAGGTTCAGCTGAAGTACAGGAAGCCACTGCATAGCAGTATTTGCTCATTCGTAGTTTAAAAACCGTGAATGCATTTTGTCTAAAAACTGTTTGAGGGTACCAGGCTTCCACTTCTGTGAGATTACTTACAGTTACACCAGATTTATCTGAGCAAAAAACATGCTTGCCAACTAGCTCCTATAGAAACTCATTTGGCCTCAAGTTAAATGAGCCTTCTAAGACAGGCTGTTTTTACGTTAGCACCCTATTCCTGCAACTAAATATTGTTCATTTAAACAACAAATACAGAAACGCTTTCAATGGTTTCACACTTATTATGAATACAACTCCTCAAAGATTTTATATTCCAAATAACTTCAGTCAAAATTAGATAAGCTTGAGAAAGCAAATGAGGTTTGGTTTTTTTGGTAGAACAAAGGAAGAGCTGTATTTATTGAAAGATACAATAACTAAATACCAAAAATCTTGCTTCACCCTCACAGTTATTTCATCTCTTCCCCCTCTCCCAATTAGCCATCCACATTCCAGCCCCAGCTAGCACAACTCCTGGTTTCATGCTGTTTCTAGTAGCTTCCCACACCAGCAAAATCAAAAGTGACATACAGTCACTTCTGTATATGTAAAGCTCAAAGTGAAAACACAGGCCTGCTTGTCCCGCTTTAAAACTAACCGCAAACAGACAGAAATATAACTGTTTTAACGGTCTGTGTTCTAAACGCACAATTGCACTTCATGGCACTGTCAGACATGTGCCAGTAATTGTTCTCACTACTACCTAACAAACAAGCTACATGGAAGAATTAAGACTGGCATCGCACTTGTAATTTATTAATTTGAACTAAATAAAACCAAATCCATTCTCCCTGATTTAGATTATTTCTGCAGGTAAACACTGGGTTACTAATGGAACAGTCTAGAGATTTTTTTTTTCCATGTTCACTTCTATAACCCAAAGCGAGAGACAGCACCCACTGACTCTGCAAGCCTGATGTAAGTCCAACTCGGCTACACCTCAGCCAGATCGAGTAACCTAAGAAGATCCAATCATATAATCACATAGTAGGGATAATCTTATATTAACATGCTTACAAACAAGGCTATTCAGGCATCTAGGTTTTTAAGCAGGAGGCTTGTATTTCTACCACGGCAGTAGCAGAGATCAAATCAGCAAGATTAAACAGCTGCCTGCCAAAGGTATACTGAAGTCTTAAACCATCAAGTAACAAGTCGGACAACACCTTATGGATATAGGGCTTAAACAGTGAAAAATAAAATTTATATTTTCTACTACTTAAAAAAAAAAAAAAGCCACAGTAAAGTCATCTCTAAAGATTTTTTTAATTGCCATTACTATTTAGCTGCTGAAGCAAAATCTTTGAGGCTAAAGTTTTATGCCTTTCACAGAGGGCCAGAGAGGA